CCAAACTCTTTGTACGCTTGCCTACACCTATTATCTGCCCAAAATATATTCTTAAGCCATGACTCATCGTCTACATCCATACTAAAGTAAAATCCCGTACACCGTGCTTGCATTTTTGAAAAGTATGATTGTAATGCTACGGCATCTCCTTCTCCAAGTCGTAACCATCTCACTTGTTCGATGTAGTTGCGACAATCTCTTTCGATTAACCTTAACTTCGAAGGGCTTCTTTTATGATTGTGCTTGAGGTGGATGGTGTTAATTCTCCATATTCCATTATCATCTGACGATGCAGTTATCCTCGCTTTACAATCAATCTGACTTGTTGTTTGCGGCCTCAAAGATGTGCTTCCATTACTGCTTCTTCGCCCTTCACGGCTACATATGAATGTCACATATCTAACAACTCCATCGTCCCCCTTTTTCGAGTTTTTTTCCCTCATTGGAAAACCTACGATATACGTATATCTTTTATAAAAATCAAACACCTCATTTTCGGAATCAAACATCATACCCACCTTCGGCACTTTCTCCCCATCTTCTCCTAACGTTTTATCCTCCACATTGTTTATATTGTCCACAACTATCACAAAATCCGGATGCAGTAAAGGATCTTCATTCATACCTTCCATAGTTTCGTGTCCTACAACAAATTAGTAAACACAATTGAGATTAAAAATAAAGAACACGAAAGTGTGAAGGAAGTTTCTGTCTTCATTTTTAAAATAAATGACATTGACAATGCACCCAGCTTATTCCCTTCTGATATCTTAATTAACAGTATACAAAATGGTTATAAACAGTTTGAGTCAAAGATAAAAACCAGACGGGCCTCAAACGATAAACCGAAAACCACCAAAATTGAAAATTTCTATTAGTCTTTTTGGTGCTGATTTTGTAACATATTTCTTCAAATCTACGACTTTTGTATAAGTTGTTGTTCAATAGTAAACAAATTACCCTTTTCAGGTGCAGATTATCACACCAAGCTAGGTCGATTGGATGCTTATATTCTTCGAATGGGAATTTCGAGTTCAAGTAAGACAATGGCGTCTTCGTGTTCGGCTTTTCAGACTTACAGAACTCGGAATCGATTGGGTTGCAAAGGGGCTGCAATGCTGTCAGCTCAGTCGATTGGAATGGGGATTTTTAGGGGCTGCAAGACTTAGAGATCTCGTTTCACAGAACACTCCATTGTAGGGCAAGAATGGCGACTTAGGTTGCAAAGGGGCTGCAATGCTGTCAGCTCAGTAGAAGGGAATGGCGATTTTTAGGGGTTGCTACAATCTCAACTTCTTCGACTGGCTGATTCGGCGGAAGAGTCTCCATTTTAGGGCAAAAATGACGATTTCATTGACGAAGGAATGAGAAGGAAAATGGGAAATGGATGCCAAAATTTCCCTCTATTTTGTTTGCCCCCAGCACGCTTGCTTTCTCAGGGTCACGTGAGTTTTTTTAATTTTATGTAGAACTTCTGTGAAATGGGTCTGTACACCCAGCATTTCTCAAAGTAAAGTGAAAACTAATAACTTCAATAGTTATATAGGATTATTTGCACACCTTGAATCACATTGTTACATCTCCTCATCATACCATTACCTCATCTCCATAATGATTGAGGTCTCTCTATCATCATCCTTCTTTCATTCATAGATTTAATCAAATTTAGGATATGGAGGTTTCTATCTACTTATGTAGCTCATCTAAATTATGTTCATGAAAATTTAGTTGTTGAAAAATCAAAGTTAAAGGGAGTAGTTAAAGAGAAAGCAACGAATTTAAGACAACACTTCAGTTACATATATGTATAGTTGTGGATTTAATGATCTATCTATGCTGTTATCGGAAAGAAACTGTTAAGATTTTAAATATATATACTCACATCGCTTGCGTGTTTCCAAGATTTCAACTATATTTGATTTAAGTAAAAAAGTTAATAATAATATAGGTCAAAATCAAAAATTAATTCTAATCATATCTTTAATAGAATTTATAATTTTATCAATTTTTCAATCAAATATTTCATCAATTTTTATTAAAATTTATAAAAACATAATTTTTAGTAAAATCAAACCCAACTTAAATTGGAAGCAAATAATTCATTTCCTTCCTCAAACGAGACAGCTTAACCGCCACGGGCCCAGACTACTATAAATATTGAGGAAATTACACAAAACTAGAATTTTAAAAATTCAATTTCAAAAATCAGATATAAAATTTATTTATACAAAAATTAGATATTAATTCAAATTTTTAATACTGCCAAAACCCTAAAAATCCCAAAATCTCAAATCATTACCCAAATCCCGAAATTAACAATCTGAATCGCAGGAAAAGTAGAGAGAGAAATTACCTTTCAATGAAGATGGGGGGAATGTGAGATGGGTTCTTGATATTTCCTCCACATCTCTCTCTCTCTGTAACAACAACTCTTTTACTCAGCAAATGAGAGTGTGCAAAAGTTGAAGATGGAAGGAGGAAAGTAAAACTAGTTAAAGATTTGTTAGAGGCGACCAACCAGTATTTTGCGCGGTGTCGCGATGTTCGCGTTCCCCTCTTCTCTCCTTCCTCCCCTTTTTCATTTTCTTTTTGCCGTGACGTGTAGCTGTGTAAATGGTGTTGGTGGTGGTGTGCGGTGGATCTGTGGTGAGATGGTGGTTGGGTGCGACGTGTAGCTGTGTAAATGGTGTTTATCTCTGGGTTTTTTTTGTGTTTGTGGTTGTTGGTGGTGGCGGCAGCGGTGGTGTTGAGTTGGTGGTGGTCATGGTACGGCATCGTGGTTGCTGTGGTGGTTGTGGTGGCGATTTGGGGATTTTTTAGTGAGGTTGGTTGTTGCAGTGTAGTTGAGATGAAGACAAAGGAGATGGTAGTTGTGGTGGCGGGTGTGATGGAGATGGTGGCGACGACGATGATGGTGGTAGGGTTGGGAATTTTTTTGGGTTGTAGGATGGGGATGGTAATGGAGGTTATGTGGTTTTAGTTTTAGTGGTGGTGGTGCGGTGGTTGTGAGTGGGTAGTGGTGGTTGTGGTGATGTCGATATTTTTAGACGATGGTTTGTTGTCGGGAGGTGGTGGTTCCAACGACGGGATTTCAGTTGCCATTCTGTTGGTGGCAATGGTGAGGTTGTAGTCACAATTGTCGATGGTGGTCATAGATTATTTGGTTGTTTGTGACCATTAAATTGATTATTTTGTGACCGATAAACAACATTCGACTAATGAAAAAGATAAATTGTGACAAAAAAAAAAATAATGTGTGACCTAAAAAATTGTTAATTTATGATCGACAATTTGATAATTTGTGATTATCTAATAAGTTGTGACTTATAATATTTGTGATTTGTGGCCGATAAATAAATGTGACGCATAAATTTTTTATTTGTGATCGATGAACAAATTGTGACATATAAAATTTTTGAATTGTGACGTTAAAATAATTTGTGATATATAAAATTTATGATTTGTGACCAATGAATAATATATGACTTATTAATTTGATAAATTTGTAACCGATGAATAAATTGTAACGTATAAAATTTTCGATTAATGACTAATAAACAAATTGTGACCTATAAAATTTTTGAATTGTGACCGTAAAGTAATTTGTGATATATGAAAATTGTGATTTGTGCCAATTATATGGAATTTGTGATCAAATTATATGAAATTGCGTTGTTAATATATTTAATTAATTAATTTAAAAATAAATTTAAAAAAACTCTGATATTTAAAATTTTGAACGTAGCCCCCGTTTGGTGCACATTTTTTAAAAGAGAATGCATTTTTACCGTTATTGTGATGGGGAATATGTGGTTGAAAAAAACGAAAAAGTTATTAATGTGATGAAAAATATTATTTTTATTGAAAAATGTATGGTTGAGAATTAGTAGAAGAATGAGAATCAAAAAAAGAATGGTTACCAAACGGTGCCTAGGTAAATAAAATATAACTTGACTCTTTATACACAAATTATGAACACATCCCAAACATGCGAATAAGGAGAGTTTTGCTTTCCACAAGAATCTTAAACAAAATAAGAAAATCATAAGTTAATTATGCTGTAATTTATCTATTAAAACATGGGT